ACTTAAAAATGCTCGATACCTTCCCTAAGCCTAAAATACACTGTAAAACCAGATAAGTTAATTTAACAAAAAAAAATTGCTGAAACTGATTACATCAAAGCAGAGTAAGACTAACTAAATTTTGTAAATTAAAATAACACAAGTAGCTTGTACTGTGAAAACAAAATACCTAATACAAACGTATTAATCAGGAATGTTTCTTAACTAGTTAAGTTACTTAACTAGTTTTGTAACTAAGTTAAAATTACTAGTAAAAGCGACTTAATCAGGATTCTTTTTTTTAAACCTAAAAAACGGAGTTTGAGTTATTACTTAAAATTTTTTATGTAATCAATTTCAACAATTTCTTCACTTACAAATCAATTCATTTTTCATTAAAATGCTGATGCTATTAATTTCCAGCAAGTCGACACATAAAAACACAGATCCGTTTTGTTTGAACCCATCCAAATCAGCTTCAGCAACGTATAGTATGAGAAAATGTGTCTTTGAACATTGAAGCATGTACCACCCATATGAACTTGAAAAAATATGGCCTCTTGACGTTGGATGTTGTAAAGACTTGAGACTTATGTGTGACAATGATTCGGTGCCACTTCTGCTAATGTCTTGGCCACTACAAAAGAGTTTTCACTGGTCCAGTTCACAGAAATCTGTAATGAGGCTGGACCTGACTTGAGTCAGTAGGACTGGACGTCACTGGCCTGACTGGGGCAGCAGGGTCATTCATTCCCCAGTGTGTGTACAACAAAATCAAACCTCCTCACGCCTCATCTGCTGGAACATCCCGCTCAGTACAGTCTATTTCGGGATTATTCGGCAGATATTTTTATCACGAGGGGTGACAGTTCAGCGCTTGGTGGCATGCTTTCATTCCTCTCTATCCTTCTGGAGGGCTCTGCGTAAACTCTGGGCAGGAATGTGAGGAAATCGTAGGGGACATCGGGGCACGTGCACATGTGAATTGGGGCAGTGATCGGGAGATAATTTTATGTGATGGGTGCTGTTGGAGGCGATGCAAAGTGGTGTTTGGGATGGAGGGATGTTCCAATAAATTGTAAGAAAGGAATGAGGATTATAATAACAGAACCTCCTCCTTAGCCTAAATTATCATGATTGAGCCCTACATCAGTGCTTTAGAGGAATCTTTTTGTAAGAGTAACACGTGTTAAATCATTATCCACACGATAAGTAGGCAATCTCCCCTGTATGCTTACATTATGCTTCATTAGAGGTGTACATGCTACAAGTCCATCTAAATAACAACAGTCATGCTAGCAGCTCTTTGCACTGTACTTTGCAGAGGTGGGAAGTAACTAAGTACAAATACTTTGTTACTGTACTTAAGTAGTATTTTCAGGTATCTCTACTTTAAAGTATTTGTTTTGACTTTTTGATTTTACTCATTACATTTTTAAACAAATATCTGTAATTTCTACCTTACATTTTTAATACAGGCTTGTTATTTTAGTTTTAATGCATCTATTTTTTTGGAGTTATTTGTATTATTTTACTTTTATACTTTAAGTACATTTTAGACTGTATTTTTTCAATCAATACTTCTACTTTTACTGGAGGCTTTTTTTTCTACATTAGTATTGGTACTTCTACTTGAGTAAAGAATGTGTGTACTTTTGCACCTCTGGTACTTAGGCACAGTGATGTTTTCAGAGATCAACATGTTAAAATAGCCTACTCACAATGACAATGCTAAAGGAATAATGTTTATTATGTTCACCATCTTAGTTTAGCACGCTAGCAGGCTAACATTTCTATTTGTTATCTGACTAGAATTGAACACAAAGTGCAGTTGAAGACAAGTTAATTACATTTTCAACTGATGATGGCGATAAATGGAATGTTATTACAATTCATCCTGATGGCAAAATGAATGTCTTCTTCTGAGTACCATGAACAACTGTACCACATTTAATGACAATGACCATCCAATAATTGTTGAGGCATTTCACCAAAGATGTCAACCTATATTGTAAACGTTTGCACAAAGTTAAGCTGAGGCTGATGGAAATGTCATTTGTTAAACCAAAGTGTTTCAAATTGAAATTTTGTACTGACGATGTCAAGACACTATACTAAAGACCATAAATGTCCCCCTTATGGTGGCGCTGTCAGGGGAACAATGAAATCAGTAGGCTTCATGCTCTGGGGCTATGAATGTCTGTACCAAATTGAATAGTAATCTGTCCAATATTTGTTGAGACATTTCAGTCTGGACCGAAGCAATGGGCCCACCAACCAACAGACAGACCGACATTACCATCGCTAGAACTGTGCCGCAAACATGGCTATGAATGTCATCAGTAACAAGCGCAAATTCGCAATAGCTGCGACCACGTATGACCACTCATGACCTTTCCACAAAATCTTCTGCAAGTTTCTGAATCCATTTGGAAGACATCACTAAAGGTTCGATTTATACAATGTAACAGCAAGGTCTGATTTATCATTCAAGAATCCTGATTTAAATGGAAATACTCCTTCTAACTCTTCCACTTCTATGTTTCCACACAAGCCACAGAGTACCTCTGAAGGGCATGTGTTTCCATCACTCAAGGCCATGGCAAACTGGTCGCTTTCTATTGCATAATTTTCACCCTACTTAGGCAATTTCGGAAGTGTAAAAGCCCCGCTACATTTTTCAGAGGTGACCCTGACATATTACATCATGTCGGCTCCCAGGATTCTCGGCTGATTCTTTGGGGTCTCAGATAACAAGACCACAGATTGGACACAGATCAGCTGTTGCTTGGGTCAATTTATTACAATTCTGTTGGTTTAATTTCCCACTGCTAAAGAGTCATAAACAAAACAGCCTATTGTCCACTCTAATTGTATTGACAAGGTTACTTTTTATTGTTTATCTTAGATTTATCATCTATGTGAGTAAAAGAAGACGTGGATCACCTTGGGTTTTCGGAAATTGTGATAAGGATTCTTCACAATTTTCTGACATTTATTTTATGGGTCATGCAATTATTTGAAAAAATAATCAGCAGAAATTCAATATTGAAAAGAATCATTAGCTGCAGCTCTAGCTGTCAGTAATATTATCATACTGTTGTATTACTCTTACTGGAAATACTGTTTGTTCTTGGAAAGGACAGTGGGTGAATGTGATTCCACCTCACTACATATAGTGTATACTGTAGTCCGATAGCTGGCAAATTAAAGGAGCCCATCAGCCGAATAGTGTCAATGTTAGCTTGGCTGAAGCTGAATGAATAAATCTGAGCAGGCACGTTTGTTGTTTTTCTAAACCATCTTCTAAAATGCAGGGCTAGTGAGGAGTAGTGAGCAGTAATAAGCACTAAAGAGCATCCACCTTTGTTTTCCAACAGCCTTCTATTAAAATCCTCTGATCTGGGTTTCTCTTTCTCTCTCTTCCTCTCTGTCACTGTCTGTCATCTTCCCTCATATCTTAAGTGAAGTCTAAGTCTGAGTCTAAGTCTTAAATACAGTAAATCTACAATTGCAAAACGTAGGGACGATTTGTGTTGATATGGGTATTGTGGTGTACATTTTAAACGATAATTAAAGAGGTGAATCAAAAAATAAATCACAAACCAGTACTAAACCTGAACCAGAGACGTTAAGGGAAATTTAAGTTGTCTTTTTCACATGTAAGTGCTTTATTGTATTATATTGTTATAATAGTAGATTAATAGTTCAGTATATGGTAAAAAAAAATTAATGAATCATTACAGTCATTAAAACAAATTTTTCCAATGATCAGTTATTTATAGGTTTAGTGTTCCTTTAATATAGTTCAAGATTGGCTTCATTCCACACCAAATCAATAATAAAAGTCTCACTGACAACTGGAACATGGCCTGTTAGTAACACTACCACAGACGAAAATAAAAACACCTTAATACCTTGGCATAACTACTTAACATCACAGACAGCCCTCCAAGTCCCTCTGGGAACACTTTGAAGGAAAAGTCGTGTTCTTATAATGATTTTTCCTCGGGGTTAAGAGCACTTTACATTTTAAAATGCACGAAATAAGAGCAGAATCGCTTTTACAGATGCGTTTTGAACGCCTACTTACAGTGTCTCCGTGCTTGCTGGAAACCTGGGGAGAATATCAATGTCAAAACAGGAGATTGTGTGGGTCTTCCACTCAGAGCACTCGCAGACAGCAGGGCAGGAGTCAGCCTCCGACACGGTGCTGCTGACAGGGAGGCTGACGAGCGCAAACAACGCGCATGTTATCACCTGCATGGTCGGTGCAAAATCTCCCCCAGACTGACTTCTGGTTCTCCACCTGATCCTAGTCCTCTTGGTGTCCACAGCAACAAATGTGTGTATCAATTTAAGCGAGGTAGTCTGAGCTGTGCTGTTTGTTTTTGGTGTGTAATCCTCAGGTGGAGCTGCACAGGAGGGTTATGCTCAGCTGTGTGTGTGCAGGGCCCCTGGAGTTTCTGTGAGGCTGTGAAGGTGGGGATGCTGTAGGACGGACAGCTGCAGCTCTGTGGTGGGTTTGGAGGTGGTCTTCAACTTGAGGGGAGGACTTATGAGGCACTCTTGTGTTACACTCGAGAATAGTTTTTTAGTCTTTTTTTCCCCCCCGTGAGCCGTGTGTTTTATTGAGGTAAACTTTATATTCCAATATATTTCTATAAGTCTGTGCTCAAGACATGACTGAAGTATTCTCTTTTTTGTCTATACAGAATGGCATTGTATTATTCAAGTCAGTAAAATATATAGTCGGTTAACATAAACTGTCCATTATGCTATTTTTATAGTCTGACCAAGCCGTATTTCCCATTTATCTTTTTTCATTTTTAAACGTTTTTCTATACTTTTCTATTCTTTTCTTTTCTAACTGAAGAGCGGCACTACTGGCGCAAACCAATACCTTTGGACAATGTAGTTCACAAATAAAAAGTTCTCACACTGCTCCATCGTGGGCAGCCTACATTTCCCGGCATCCTCTGGGGCCGCTGTGGTCGGTTGTTTTCCTTCTCAGACGCGGCTAGTTCAAGTTGCCATAGCAGAGGAAAGCTGAGGGTTGCGCTTCTGTTCGCTATCACTCACAAAGCGAAGAACCAACGGCTCTCGTTTAACGTGTCCATTGCGGTAACATTAATTTCCTCCTTCCCGCTGGACTTGTGGACAGTTTAGCAGTTTGTACGTTAATGTCACAAGGCTAAATTAGTTGGCTAACGTTGGGTTAGCTTTAGTTCCACTTGTTGCTAGCCTGGAGGAGCATCACCCACAACAATGCCCAGCGCAGTGATTGACTGTGGAGAGGACGGTTTGAATTGTAGTGTTTTACAGGTCACTTAGCTTTCTGTCTCAACGGGTTGTTACGGTAACGATGACAGGGCTTTCATTTCTCCAAGCTATGACGAATATATCTAGCGTTAACGTTGCTGTAAAGAAAGTCCGGAACCAGCCCAGTTTGTTCGGTAATCTGATTATCGTTGCAGTTACCGGTGCTGCTCGCTAATCGGCAGATTTGCATAGTCAGTCGTTTTTCGTCGCCTCCACCGCATCCTGCCCTGTCCTAAACTATGGATACTTCCAGTGGGTCGGACTCATACGACAGGACGAGGGTGCACAGGCCTCGGGGGCGTGAAGCCCACCGCAGACCTGTCCGGAACAGGGGCAGAGCCAGCGGGACTGAAAGTGATGGTCCGGCAGGAGACATCTCCGAGAAGATCAGCACACTGGCGAGCACTTTACAGGTAGCCTGCTCTGCCTCATGAGACACAAACTCAGATTTAATCCAACTAGAAATACTGCTCATGCACCTGCATGCTGCTGTGTCCTTATATAGTCTCCCACCACCTGCCACAATTCAAAACTTACAGTACAGTACATTAGCTTTCCTATACATGTGGTAATACAATTTGAGTTGATGTGTTTATTTGCAGCTTGCATTGATTACTAAACTTATGCTAAATTAAGGGCTTCCTTTCTCTCACAGGACACCAGTAGGAACTTGACCAAAGTAGACCAAATGCTGGGTCAATACAGGGACCATTCAGATGATCAGGCTGAAGCCATGGCACTGGTCAGACACTTGTTCTAATAATTCTAATGTCGTTGTTAGCTTTTCACATATTTTGTTTCAGGCGTATATATGTATTTATATAAAAACATTTTTTTTTTAGGATATCTGTTACACCTAGTCTTTGTTCTGTTTTTGCTTCTTAATGCTATTAAACCATTTTGTCTTTTCTCAGTTTGTCATTTATGTCTCCTTTTTGTTTTGTGCAACAGCTCAGGGAGAACCTGGAGGAGTCGATAACTCAGCTGCAGACACACAGGCAGGGCAGATCCAATGGCGCTCGGAGTGCTTCAGCTTCAGCTTCCACTCTGCACACTAGTGACCTGGAAGCTTGCTCAGGATCAGGTACGGAGAAATAGAAAGGGTTGCTGTCAGCTGTCTTTTCATTGTAGTCTTACTGCTGGATAATGTGTGAGTTGAATGAACACAGAAATAGTATACAGAAACACAAAAAAAACCTCACCTTAAGTGAGTTTGTGGTCTCAGGTTAAGTATTTCTCAGGTAACTATACATAGCTATAACATATGTACTTTTATAATTTCAGATGACCAGCGCTTCTACCCTACTTCTCCACTGAGCGACTATATAGGCACTCAAGGAAGGAGAAGGAGGTCTCATTCTGCCAGTGTTCGCTTCAAGGACGCGAGCCTGACAGGAGAGGATGTAAGGGATCGTGGAGACGAACCAACTACCAATCAGTGTCACTTGTTCCTGTCAAGTAGTTTCAGAAAAAGAGGGTGCACTGAGTCAGCAACATCCAGTAGATTGTTACGCTAATCTTAAAGCGGTGTGATAAGATTTCATTTAAATCTGATATTGTTTATGTTAGTATTTTCCTTTACAGAGGTCTATGGTGTGGTTTTTGCTTATGCTTTACACAGTGGATGCAATAAATGTGCATTTTTGTAAAAACAATAATCGGCAATTTTTTGCTTTGCTCGTGTATGATGTTGTGTGTTCTGTATCTATCTGTGGCTGTCCCACATAGATTCACACCATGCACCAATCCTTGAGGGATCTGCGTTGTGGCCAGCAGAGACTGTCTGATGACCTGGATAGAGAAATCCTCCGGAGAAATAGGTACATAGGGGAAAGACAAAGTCTGAACAGCAAAACAGTTAACTTCACATGACGCACTGGCTATTTTGTGACTTTGTGATTTTTAAATCTGAATCTCCAAACAGTTACTTGCCATACTAATAAGTAGCATAAATATTCTTGATAATGAAATAATATACCAATATTTCTGCCAATTTGAAAAGTTTGTAAAACAATAAAGACTTGTGACAGATTTAGAAATTACCTCATTAGAAAAGGTTTTTTTTAATTTAACCAGATAAAGTTCTTTTGTTAAGGCTACTCGCCTCTTAAAGTTTATTTAAATAAATGTCCTTGGTTCCCTAGATCTGCACATCCTAAATTGAATTTAGAAGCATTGTTTGCTTTAATACTAGTTTTCATGTCTGGATTAGGCTTTAGGAATTTAGCACACAGTGATTTAGGCTACATTCACACTGCAAGCCTTAGCACTCAGTTCTCAGTTCTGATTTATTGCTCGGATCTGATTTCTTTATTTATTATTTAGTTTCACAATATTTGTTCAATGTGGCCCACATCAGATTCAAGTGAACAGGTCACTGTCTTGAAGTGACCCACATGACGAATCTACATCTAGAGTGACATAAAAGTCACATTAAGTCTGATATGACTGTTCACACTGAGGTCACACTGCAAAAAATCCAACCAGTATATGATTCGGAGCACAAATGAAAGCGGCTTAAATCAGAATTGAAAAGATCAGATTATGATTTGTGCTCAAACTGTAATGAATAGGTTTTGGCCAGTTGTGCCTGCAGTGTGAATGCAGCCTTAGTAATCCACAGAAAGTGCAATGGGACTCTTATGTACTCCCTTCTTAAGGTCTGCCCTCAGATTTCCTACATTATTTTCTGCACTAACTAATGCCTGCAGCATATTGATCTTTTTGTTTTCACATCCAGTGTACATAACAAGGTTTTGCTTGAGCTGTGAAAACAAATGCATGTGTTTTCAGGCCTTTGAAATCTCCTTGATGACAAAGTGATAAAAGTGTCATTGGAAACTCAAAGACGGCACTGCAAAGTCGAAAGGCAGCAGATCTTTCTCTCAACATGCATTAGAATTTGACATTTTCAAGTTATTAAAAAAATCTCTCCTCCCTGGTGCTGTTGACCAGACCAAATTGATCCACCACCATATTTCAACATCTGAAGCTGTATAATTATTTTTAGTGGCGTCACATTATGCATTCACATTTTGATCAATGGTACCCTGGAGTAGGATTTTTCAAAACGGCTGAGAACTCTGCTGTGTAAATATTTTCACTCTGCTGGATTTGTCTTTTTTTCTATAGGTCGAATATTGACAACAGGCGAGCGATGGAGAGCCTCACAGGGCACGTGACAACTTCCCAGAGACAGGCTTCAGTGAGTTGTAGCTGCATATTTCACTACCAATACTTCAAGTATCTAACTAACTCTGTGGAAAAAAGTGTATGCATCCTAAAGTTAAGGACATCACATCACAGTTCTTGTTGAATGAAAGCTTCTATAAAGCAATATGCAAATATTTATGTTTCCTGAATAGATATGGACAAATGGGGTCCTCTTTTTCAAACGTCACTTCAGTGAGTCTAACTTTAAAGGATATTTCGGTGTAATTTCCAAGCGCACGGCTCCTCACTGCACCAGCACTACTCTGATAAATATGCTGCTCCAAATGACAGCCAACATGTTTAATATTTCTTATCTTGTCACGTCTGCGGACGTGACAAGATAAAGGTATTAACTGTTTTTCAGAGGTAGATGCGATGCTGCCTGATTAAACAGGAAATTCTTGCATCGTGAATGTAATACTTACAGTCAGTTCTAGAGGATATTTTTGTCACCCACCCTTTTAATTTCCTGGTGTCTCATTTATCATATCTTGCTGCCATTTCCGCACCGGTGATGTTTGCGTGACCTGAGGCGTCCCCCCCGTCTCACTGTCTGCAGGTGTCGTCTCGTGTGGAGCGGCGTCTGCAGGAGCTGGAGAGAGAGATGCATGCTGGGCAAAGTAGCGTGGAAAGAGAGAGAAGGCCTGATCAGTGGGCGGCCATGTCTGATGAGCTGCAGGAGGTGAGTCTTCTCCCCATCACTCATCTTCTGTGATCCCTCCATCCTACACCTCCCCATCAACATCTGTCATGTTCTGTCACATTCAAGGAAAACACCTAAAAATAATGTAGAGAAAACATGAAGCCTTATAGATTCAATGGAAGGACCAGGACAAGATGGAACTTAATACTTAACTTTTACTTTATTTATTTAATTATCAGAGATTAGACACATTGATTCACATCATTAGGATCTGAATTTGTCAAATCAGTCCCTGAGCAGGTTTATGTTACACTTTGCACACTGCTTTCTGGGCATGCAATCCTGTTTTCTTCTTGGTCTGTTACAGTCACAGCTCTATCGCAGCTCTAGTTGATCTGTTTTTACTGTAGTTGTCCTCACAGATTCAGTCATAATGAAGAATGAAGACCGTTAAGTATTTAGGATAAATGTTATGGCATATTATGCATGTGAAATATGTAATATAAGGAAGAATGATTGCATTCATAACTAATTTGACTAATACTAGGAAACATATTTTTTTCATCATGAGGGGAAATTTGGAGGATGTAGTAAAGAGAAAGCCAGTCAGCAGGACTACCCACACAGGTTTAGCAGCAGCAGCAATACATGCTTTTTGGTTATTCTTGAGTAATAACACAGACCACTGACATTTATAATTTATTTATGCTCAATTTTAAAAAAATAAATAAATAAAATAAAAAATCAAAAGCCGTTCTGCCTGCCAGCTCTGGCACAGAAAGGTTCAAAATCAAGCTTGACAAATGAATGCTGAAACATTCTTAAGTAATCTCTGTTGAGTAATTATTCTGTTACAAGTCAGAAAAGAACCAAAACCACTAACAATAATTGTTGTGATTAGTGATCTTCCACAAAAATTAGATACAGCATGTATTACTGCGTTGTCCATCAAATAATTATGTTTGAAAACAATCAAACAAACAGAACAGAAACATCGCCGTGTCTTACTGAAGGCTTTTCTCTCTAATGTACCGTCACCCTCTCTTGTTTGTTAAAGCAGTGCTCCCACTGTGTCACCTAGCCGTCTTGCTCTGCTTTATGAGACTATAAAACACACCTAGGCAATTACTGTGATGCAGTGCAAATGGTTGCTAAGCAAGTAATTGCTACTTCCCCGTATTTCATGCCAATCATGTATTTTGGGGGTGCATTTGTCTTAAAGCATTAATAGCTGAGAGAGCTCTGCCATTAGGTGCACTTTAGTGTTGTAGTCTCTTAGCTAGATGCACACAATAGATGCCCACAGTCACAGTAAAGAACACATTATCTTCTATTATTGCTCTTACATTGCTACTTTTCCATTTAGCCACACACAGCATCCACATTATACATCATCAGCATGATGTTAGTTCATTTTTGAAATACCTGAACCATTTATTTCTTGGTTACTGGTTTGGAGGACAGGCTTTGCATAAGCTAATCAGTGTCATGGCATCAGTCCTATTTTAAATCTCTTTTTAAATCTATGCTTACTGCATTATATTAGCAGGCCACAGAGGGGCACTGTGTAGCTGTATCCAGGCTGATAACCTTTGTGAGCCAGGCTTTTGTGTAATGATAGTAGCTACCAATTCATTTGCATCCAACTCCTCCGTTGTGCCCTAATGGGACACCAGCAGGGCCCGGGGCGACGGGAAATAATGCATTTGTCCAAAAATTAAGGGTAAATAAACAAGCATGAGGAAATGAAGAGGAAAATAATCTCTTTTACTACAAAAGAGCAGGGGGGGAGGGAGAGCACAGGGCACATTTATTCCCCACCGATGGGCCTGCTGTGATGTGAATCAAATAGATGATGAGTCACTTGGGTAGATGTTATTGCTAGCAGCCGGTAATTCATCACCACAGCCTGCTCAGAATGAGTGGGATTGAGTGGGATCTAAGCTCTTGTACAAATCCACCATGATGCCAGTATCTCCTTCCAAGAAGACTAGATACTGTATATGTGAAACTGTGATGCAATAGCGCCACTCATGTTGCATTATTACGCTACTCTTCTACGTGTGCTCGTATAGTAATACATTCTGTGGCCTGTATATTGTGTTTTGTAGACTTCAGGGAGACGTCAAGTTCAAGCCCATGAGAGAGAGGAAGCCATAACAGCCAGGCTACTGAAAGGAGAGAGGGAGAAGTCCAAGGTGAATATATTTAGTCTTAAGAATGGTTTTTGTTTTGTAAATGAAACACCTTTTAGATAAATCATTATGAACACTATAAAAGTTCTTGCATTATTTTACTAAAAATGACCGCAGTAGTAGTTAGCGTTCCAATTTTTACTTAGTATATCAAAACTTTTTAGATCCCTCCTAAAACTTTGATAATTGTGCTTTAAATGAAATTGTATACATTCTAAATGTGTAGATCGTATATGCTGCATACCTGGTGATATGATGATGGAACACATACCAGACTCCTGCTACTTTCACATCATTTTCCAAACCACTTGAATATTATGTATTGTCCTGACATTCTCATTGTTATGCTTTCCTTAGACGGACCAGGAACTGGAGAGAGCTAGACGACTCCTTGAACAGTCTGAGGAAAGCAGAGAGTCCCTTGTTCAACAGGTTTGTTTACGTCTGTGTGTACTGTACCTGATTGCATATGCAGATCTACAGTAAACCTCTGGAGACAAAACAATAAACAGTGCAGCGTCTTCCAAGAGAACTTCAGTCTTGTTTTTTGCCCGCTGTCAGACTGTCAGATGTCTTTCTCTGTGTCTGCCTCACACGGGCCAACGATCCCCAGGTGGAGGACATGCGCGGTGAGCTGCTGAGGACAAGGAAGGAGAAGACTGAGCTTCAGAGGGCCCGGCTGGAGACTTTTCAGCCCATTGCGCAGCCACATGGCAACCACACTGACAGGGAGGAGGGAAGAGGTGGACAGCGAGGGCCAGGTACTGAATATAGGTCTGGATGAACAGGAGAGGAGAAGACAGAGGATTTGATGCAGGTTAAATGGATGTGTTAAAATATTGCTATGCCAACCCGGTAACCATAGAAATAGCTGGCATCATATCTTGTTATTTTTATGTATCTTCTTGAAGAAAATCTTCAGGCCGTACATATGCATTGCCAATCGCTGGATCAGATTACCTTTAGGAGTAGAAGAGTGAGTGCAGGGCAGTTGGAAGAGAGAGGCTAAAGAACCAAGGCCCTGTTTGCACCCGGCATAGAGTGTGTCCTGGGTGATCCAGTTGATCACAAGTAGCTCTGAGTACGTCAGTTAACATCTGGTGTTAGAATGCGTCTCCACATGCATCTCAAGTGACCGCTTGTGATCGGGTCTCACTTACCCACTCCATATGCAAATAAACGCATACATCATTTCCGTTCCATTTGCAAAGATGTGTTGAAAAAAAAATGTGTTGTTGTTTTTAAGCGGTGGGAGTCAGCAATGCACTTCTCCTGCCTAGTCTGCTGGAAATTAAAAGGAGAAGAATTTAAGTGAATCATCCAGTTTCTGTTGCACATTCTTGGGTGCATTCACACCTGTACTTAAAGCTGTCTACTTGGGATCAGGTCACCCAGAACACATGTTACTACCAGGTGTAAATAGGACCAGATAAAGAGAGGAGTGTTTGATAGAGGACAGAAAATTGATTGGACAGTAGCTCAGAAAGAAGTTTGAAAATGACAGATTATTATGAAAGTGTATTAATTCTAAAGTAGTTTGAATGCAATAGGGCTTTTCAGATTTGATTATTTGTTTAAATCTGAATTTCACACAGATTGTGTAAAATATGGTGAACTATTTGAGTACTTGACTATGAAGATATCACCAAAGGTAGTTGGTGTTTGTATATCAGAATTTTAGTTTATCAAACCCTGCTTCATTCACACCTCTTATCACTTAATTCTGTTCAAGAGGTACAAAAAAAGAAAGGGGGTTAGGGTTACAAAGTAATTCAAAATGGACTTAAATATTTATCTCATTAAAAAAAGTTTTTGCATAAGGTATTTGTTGTGATCCCCAATTATCTATCACGTCCAATTATCACCACGTTGTCACCATATGCTCTACTTTTCTTGTTTCCACATGTAGTAACTAATTCTAACAACAACACTTGGATTCTGTCCGTATGTGTGTACATGCGTATAGATCATTCAAACCTGGAAAAAGAAGTGGCGGAGCTGCGAGCCCAGCTGCAAACAGCCTCAGTCCTCAGTGAGGTTGATGAATTGAAAAGGGCCCTGGACCGCAAGGAGAAAGAGAGGGTCCAGCTCAGCTTACAGGTAGAGGTGTGTATCAGAGAAATTGTGTGACAATAAGTATTCATTTATTTATTTGACCTTTATTTTACCAGGAAGTCCCATTGAGATCAAAAGTGTGTTAGTATTTATATAAAACAAAAAGAACTTATAATACCAATGGTTTAGAAAGGACATTGCAAGTCATTCCTTAGTCATCTAGTTGGCTGTCTTTGCAGTATACTCTGAAGAATAAATGATCTCTCAGCTGGAGTGCAAACGGACACAAGCACGCTTTTGACCTTGCCCACATCGCCGTCGCCACCCTGAGCAGGGTTATTTCAGTTTTTTGGATGCCTCTCATCCGTGGTCGCATCCTCCGCCAACTCCATGCCACTTGATCCTCTTAAAATCGTCAGATGAAGTGACAGTTGGAATAGGAGATCAGAAGTCAACCAGCAGTCATTTATCCTTTTCAAAACGGTGCAATGTGTCACTTCCATCACTGTAACAAGACATAAAAAATTGTAGAAGAAAATAAAAAGAAACACATTCCCTTGCTAAGCAGGGGGTATTCAAGGCTATGGTGGGTATCAATAAAATGTTAGTAGAAATAGCTGCACTTTAAGCATTGGCACATTCCTCTAATCTCAGATGTTTCTTTCACTGAATATGTGTTTAAACTCCCACACATCCCCTATTGCCGAGTAGGTGTTAAAAGACGAAGTGGGTGTTTGCATGTATCACCTGGGGCGCCTCTTATGGTTTTTATGTCTAGATCAAAACAGACGTTGGAAATGTTTCATTTTAACGGTAAATGAGCGAAAATGAAGTATAATGAGGAGAATGGGGTGGAAGATTAAATTTTTCAGTGACTGAATTTATATACAGTCTAATAGGTCTGTGCCTAATCAGTCTATGACTAATTACTCCTAACTGACAGTCTTATTCAGTATAAATACCAGAACGGCAACATGCTAACCTTACTTGCCCTTACTTTAGACTTCAATCAAACTTGAAACTTCGAAGTGATTGTGATTTTGTTGTGGATATGAAGTTAATCCAGTGCAACTCTCCTTTCAGACTACTTTTCAGACCAGCCTTGCAGATAATCCAATTGGAGGCAGCTTGTAAACACAGTCTCAACCTTCTTTGACCTTTCTGTCTTTGCCTTTAGTCCTCTTCTTCCCTCACTATTCTTTTATAAAATAACTCGCACCTTTTTTCTTTTTCTTTCTTTTCTTTAAGCATCAGCTGTCTTTTTCTTCCTTTTCCTAGCTTCAATTGCTAAACCCATTCCTCCACACCCACACCACATGTCTTGCTTACTCCTTACTGTCTGTCTTTTTCTTCCCATTAGCATTAGTAGTAGTCACACACACACAGTCCTTGACCTTTCTCTTTTCTATATACTAGGAATTGTCATCAGACCTGGCACGGCGGGAGCAACAGCAGCTACGAATGTTGGAACAGTTGAGGGAGATACAGGTATTTTATTCTTGGTTATTGTCACACTAATTCATCAGTGGTTAGGTAATTTAATTCAAGGACCCTAAACAAGGGAGGGACTTTTTCTAGTGGCAGTTTAAATTGTAAGCATATTGTGTGTACTTCCTCATTCTGGTTCAAGTTCACACAATTACAATGTAAAGAACTGATTAGATCCTTCAGAATTAGGCCTATGAGACATTTTAGGATCTATCCCATGGATAAAAAACACTGGTTCAGATTATAAGGAATGAGCATACACTTTGTGTATAAATTCACTCATCCTTTCAGAGCCGAGGGCAGGCAGAGAGGAGGGAGACGGAGGCGTTACTCCAGGAGAGCACGAGGACCAGAGATGAATTGAAGACCAGGGCCCAAGAGGCTGTGCGCCAGTGGAGGGCAAAGTGCAGGAGACTACAGAAGGAGCTGGAGGAGGAGAGGGCCCAGGCTCAATTGCATATCAACAAGGCCTTGCAGGTCAGTTGAGGCTGATGCATTCATTACATGACTTTTGACACCACAGCCTGATCTGTATATGTATAAGAGTGGCTGTCTTTGTGCATTGAAAAAGATCCATCCTAACACCTCATTGATTCTAGTCGACTCCTCCACTAGAATCAGTGAGTTTCTGCATTTAAAATGTGAAAAATGATCTCATCCCTTTTGCTTCCAAGGGGCAATCCAACAATTTTACCCATGGTGATCCGTTTACCTGTCTCAAGGAGTGATACTCAGTCTGTGACAGTGGTTATACAATGTCTTCTGTGGCTTTGGAGAGAGCTTTCCAAAGTTTGAAGAAACCAGGCTTTAAAGCCTGTGTTAGAGTATGAAGGTGTGGGGTTTGAAAGAAGCTGGCATTAAGGGAACAGGGGAAATCAAAAAATGAAAGATGCTATTGAGTTGCATTATGGGAAATATAGCATCCAGGGTTTTTGGCCTTTGCTGCTTTGTTTGTTTGTTTTTGACCGTTCTTATTTTAATCTCTCCCTTTATGAGTCCCCTAAATTGATGGAAGTGTGTGAGTGGCTCTTTAAATTAACATTTTGCATCGAATTATTTGGATGTCTAGTCTGTATTTATGATACAGTAGATTTAGCCGATTAAAACTAAAACCACTTTGCCATTCTTCTGCTTAGAAGGTCAGTCCTATTGTGTATCGATATACATTGTGTATGAGGTACTCTATGGTAAAGCCTGCATGAAAACGTTCAAATAAAATATGCATTGCACGTACAGTTATATTATACAATAAACAGACTTGTTCCATTGGTAAGCAGGCAAAACTGTGATTGTTATTGTTATTACACATTCGAGTTAAACTAGCACTGTGTCTGTGCACACTGTGGTCAAGATATCAATCAAAACTGCTTAGCAGTCAGCTGCTTTCTTGTTGCTGTTGGCTATGGTTGTTCCTTCAACTTATCTTTGAAAAAAGTAAAAGTTCTCAGTTGTTGCACAGAATCCAGCAAAAGTTGACCAGACCATGGTGAATCTCACTGCAAAATTGTTGACTAGGTATCAGCTGGCAACTCTAGTTGTCGGCTCCCAGTATTCCATAAACATACTGCTGCTGCTGCTGCTGCTGGGCAGGCTGCACTGTTCACAACAACTGACTGTCTTTGTAGCATTTTCGTGTGGACTCTGGCTCCTGCATAGCTGCTTTGACTTTGACAGGGTGTTCTAAGAAGTGATCAGTAATGTCTATGAAATGCATTTCTCTACTCCAGTAGTAGACCGATTTGTAGTGACGCCCCAGGCGGCGATAAGAAAAGTAAAACTTGCTTCAGCCAAACTCTCCCCGTAGTTCTGTAATCCACTGATGTCAGTGGATGGTAGAAGCAAACTAGGTTGCTACAACTGTGATATACAGAATATTGGCAAATGTGCTGAACATTGGATACAACCCCACAAAAATATTTTTAGCAGCTCTGCGTTTCGAAGCAATCCTCTGCTTTGTTACATTACCGTATTGAGGACATTGCACTTTAGATCTCGTTTTAGAAAAAATAAATTAACACCCTCTCATCACAGGCGAAATAACAGATGTATCCATGTTCTTTCATAGTAGAAAGTGAGATCAGCAAAAGCAGAACCTTTGTTATTTTTAAGTCTAATCATTGGAAAGAGGAGATATACATACATATCCATTGCAGTCCATATTATATGTCACTTACACTCTACTTACTGTGTAGAGAAGGAAGTTGGTCTCAGTTTTAAAGGAAAGAATGTAAAGGTAATTGCTATTTAGAACTACTGAATATATAATAAAACACAACAATACAATACAATATAATTAATACATAATATGAAATGTTGAAATGAAATGTTGCTGTTTAACCCAAGCAAAGCTAAATGGATGGACACTTGTGCATGCCTTTCTCTGTTAATTTTGTTTAATAGTTTTCATACCTGATATAGCAAATATATAGGGCATTGTAACAAAGTCAGATTAAAACTCTAGAGGTGCGTTTGGAATTTACTTAATTATAACATAACCAAGTATGAAGTCAAGTAGTCTGAGTACCTTTTGTGAGGTATGTTACAGCAGTTGTGCTTTGTTGAATAATTACCGGCTGACTATTTTTATCAGCTTGAAAGTCACCTCCCAGTGATTTCCATTCCATTTGAACTGAGTGAGTCACCTTCAAACTCACAGTCAGCAGCCTCGAGCCTCACAGACGGACAGACAGACAGACAGACTCCCACCTGGCATACTCGACGTGATGCGAATTAATTACAAAATCATTTCTGCCCCCTTAATGAATTAGGGGAGAGAATCAAGTGCTCAATTAAATGATTAGGTTCTGAGCTACAGCAAAGTCTTTGCAAATTCCAGTCAAAGCCAGAGTATTAGAAGCAATCTGCTTTGAACAGACCTGACCATTGTCCCTTATCAGGGAGCTGAGTGCTAGCATTTTCCTATCAGTGCAAGAGCTGGTACTGCATATGTTTCTCTCCCTCTGTCTCTCTGTCACTCTTTCTCTTGCCCTCATCATTATTGTTAGAGCTCCTTTTTGTACACCATCTTCCGCCTTGTCATTCTTCATTTCCCTTCTCCTCTCGCCCTACCACCCCCTCTCCCCAACGCTGTCTGTCTTTTGCTCCCGCTTTCTTTTTCTCGCTCCAGGCAGCCAGGGAAAAGGAGAGCTCTCATGCCCAGCTGAAGGCGCTGAGCCAGCAGACTGAGGCAGCCCGCAGGGAGCTCGCTGAAATCCTAGGCCGATTGGCGCAGCGAGAAGAAGAGCTCCACCGCAAGGACGTGGAGCTGTCCGAGACGCGCCAGCGCCAGTTGTTACTGGAGCAGGAAATCCGGGAGGTGCGGGGCTGAACATCCAGATATAGAATTTATCTTTCAAATCACAAGACACAAAAAAATATATATTTTCTTTTTTCACTTATAGGACTGTGTGTCAGGTTTTCATGAAACAATGTACATCTAGTGGAGACGTCCCGATACCATTTTTTCCTTCCCAATACCGATTCCGATAAATTGCGTGGTATCGGATTGGTGCACAGACAAGACTCGCCGATACCCAATACTGCATGTCAAGTAGTATCAGAGGAATTTCCAATACTGGTATCGGTATTGGAACAGCTCTAGCATCTAGTATACTTTATTATTCCTTAAATTCTGGTTCATTGGTTCATGACCAGTTAAACTTTTCAAAAATGACAGCAGCACTGAGTTTAAATCAAACAGTATCACACTACCACCATGAAGTGTGCTATGTGGGTGTGATGTAATGATGACACCTTTTTTGAAAGTAGTTTAGTCGTTATAAGCATGTTAGTATTCTTTTCTAATCAGAGATATTGCTAAAATTTTGCTTAATTCTGTTGGCAGACCAACTTGTCTCGCTTAGGGTGAGGCGTTGTTAACGTAAAACAAATGTGTGACAAAAGCCTCAGCTAAAAAGACTTTGATCAGATTCTAACAGCACTCCTAACCCTAGGTGAGGGAAGCCTCAGCTGCCTTGGAGGAGGAGACTCGGCGTCAGGCTGCTGTCCAGGCAAGACTGGAGGAAGAGAACCAGAGGCTGGAAGTGCGAGCTGACACCCAAGCCCGTCGTTGTCAGAGAGACCAGGACGCACAGGCCGAGCTCCAGGCCGCCCTAAAGCAGATGACCTCAGCCCATGCCAAGTTAGCCCAGCGGCTGACTGAGGAGGACAGCTCCAAGAAGGAGCTCCAGAAAGGCGCAGCAGAGCTACAGGCCAAGCTGACAGCAGTACAGGAGGAGGGGGCCGCACTGGGACAGCAGCTGCAGCTTGAGAGAGAGGTGCATCAGAAAGAACTGCACAACATGAAGGCAATGATGGAGGACAGCAGGACAAAGAAGGATCGTGAAGTGCAGGACATGCTCAAACTGTGCCGTCAGGAGCGGGAAGAAATACAGGCACACCTGAAGGAGGTTAAGGTAACCCTTTTATAAGTATGCTCACATTAAAGTACTTTAATGTGAACAACAGATTCATTCTTCGGTAACATGATTGATGTAGACATGTACAGGGTGTTTTTGTGTATCATGGCTCACGGGCTGCTTTCATCTTGTATTGTTTTGTGTGCCTGTGGTTAATTATTGAGTATCCTCTCACTGTCTATCAGCAGTGAGTGCTTTACTGCCCTTTTCAATGACACACCTTTTTATGAAGCTGGTTTCTCCTTTATGTCAGCCACAAAAACAAGATTTCCAAAGGGTGTGCATGTAGGAAACAGCTTCCCATAGCGATTTTTCCACACACAATGACAAAATAATTATGTAGAATGAGGCACAAATGTCTCACTAAGTGGCAAGTTTATTTATTTTATGCTTCTTTGTAATATTTGGTATTGAGGCAGTAATAGCTTAAAAAAGTCTCTCTTTCTCCCTCCCATCCTCTCTTAAAGCGGTCTGTCATTCTGGCAGTTTCTTTTAATGACAGATCTATTGCCATGAAATAAGCTTACTTAAATAATCAAATGCTTTATATTGTTGCTTATATCATATGCACTGCCGCTGTGTTGCAAAAAGAGAACCCCCAAAACCCACAGTGTAATTCAAACACTGGGATATTGTTACCACAGGACTGAGCCAGGCTAGCTGTTTCCCCCTGATTCCAGTCTTTATGCTAAGCTAAGCTAACCGGCTGCTGGCTTTAGCTACATATTTATCATACAGACCCAAGACTGGTATCAATCATCCATCGGCAAACTCTGGGCAAGAAAGCCAATATATATTTCCAAAAATGTTGAACTGTTCTTTTAAACAAACCCCAGTGAAAAATAGTGCTGATCTCTGGATTATCTGTTTATCTGTCAAATCTGTGGAGATGTCAAGGTCATAAGCCAAGCAAAGAGCGTTTGTTTTTTGTTGGGTTTTTTTTGCACTCAGGCATGGATCACGGAGTGCCACACTCTAATTGACATTTAGAGTATCATTGGCACACACTTCAAATTCAGCACAGGGTAACATGCCTCAGCCACTAAACATCTGGCATATTTCCGACTCAGTGAGACACAGACAAAATTCTCATTTAGAGTAATTTTCTTCATTGGCCGGGCCTCTGTCCTCTGAGTACGGGTGAATCGAGGATAGCTGAGCTCTTAATGGTGTGTGGTGCCCCGTGGATCCTCATGGCCATTCCAAGGCTCCAAGCGTGAATATTTAAAAACCCCCGGTATCAGACCTCAAAAGTCTCATCAAGGCAGTGCTAGAGATAGGAGACTCCACTTGACTTACTCCCCCAGCACCCTATCCACCCTCCCCTCCTTCAGTATCTCCGATGATAAGCCCTCATGGGTACATTGTTTCTTAAGGGGCATGGTCCTCTCTGATATGGTTGAGTTTAGACCATTAGCTGTGCTGAATGGCATTAATTTCTGACATAGCTCATTGTAATGGTGTCATTTTCAAGCGCGGTAAGGACAAGGGCGTTTGCTAGAATGTTTTTAAGTACTAGCCTACGGGTGCTGCAGATGTCCCTAAGAAGCCCACCCAATATTCACATAGCATAGCCAGAAGCCTGTGTTACGATTTTGATACAGTCAACTGTCAGAAAAAGCTTAAAATATTCTTTTTTTCTTGTCCTCTCACTCTTGATTTCTCCTCCACTGTATCTTCCCTCTCGCTGTCTCTCTCTGCCTTAATCCCTCTCTTACTGCCTCCCTCCAGTTCTAATTTTGCATTTTCCATCCGTTTTTTCTCTCCTCTCCCTTTCAGCCGTTCTGTTTTTCCATTTTTTCTTTGTTTGTGTCACTCCTGTCACTCTCAGTCCTCAGTCATTGTTGTTCATTTCACTTCACTATATCTTGAGCTGTGTGTAATAATGTGATCATTGTAGAGGGCTAATGTCTGAGACTGGATTTGCCTTTGCAAGCTTCAGCTGGACTGAGACATGAATTAAGGACTTTGTTTCAGTCTCTGCAATAGCATTTACCCATTCTCTTTTTGACCCATTACATGATGTTCTCTGTTTGTACGGCACAGAATGTCATGTCAGACCTTATTATTAATTCACCCTGTACTTGCCAGATGTGACATCTTTTACAAATTGTTAGGGTCCTCTGGCAAATTTGCTGCTTTGTATAATCAACAAAGCATACTCCCAGCTTATTTTAGGGGCTTAAAAATCACAGAAATACAAACTGCAACTTGCTTTAAGTTGATATTTTTGTGGCAGATAAGCCATCAGTCCTCATTACCTCATATTATTGCCTGTGTATCATGGCCTTAAACACATCCCCTCTCTGCTAGGCTGATGCAGCATCTGACAAGGAGCTGTGTGGGGCGCTGCGCATCAAGTTGGACAGGATGAAGGATGAGTGTGATAAGCTGGCAGCGCAGCTGAGCACAAGAGACGAGGCACATGCACTTCTCCACAGAAAATACCAGCTACTCAAACAGGAACTGGATGACAAAGTAAGCCCTGCCTCCTTTGCCATGTTTTTCAAACAGTGACTAATATCAAATGATGTGAAACTTCCAATAAATTTAAAGTATCTGTTGTTATATCAGTGAAATACATCTATCCTGTGCTGATTCTAATTAACTGCGACAGATGAAATCCAAGGACATTAAAAGGAAAGAAATTTAAATTTAAACTGTACAGACGTGAGTGCCGTCAACAGCTGTTACCAGTTTTAACAGAAGTGTGCTCTTCACTGAATGTGCTGGCTTGACATTGTAACTCTGACAGCGCATTTTATACCTTTTCTATAGCACATATAAATAAAAGGGCTTTGAGTGGTAACTAAAAAGATGCTATATAAATGCAAGCTCATTTACCAAGTCCACATAAGGAGAAAAACAAGATTTTGGCTCTATAAAGAGAACCAGATAACGCATCCCAATATTCAAATCACAGGAGCTGCAATGTTTTGCCAAAGGTAAAATGTGTCACAACAGACCATTATAAATGAAGCATTGTAGTGCTACATACATGCCCCGGCCTATACAGCATATTCTCCACGCAAAATGTCACATCATAATTTTTTGTAGTTTTTTCAGTAAAATTGAAACACAATTTAACAAATCACCACAACAACACCTCCTTACTTCTTTCCTTCCAAGCTCTAGTATATCTGGTGAGGTCATGTGATCATACAAACCTAAGAATGGGTTAAAAGGTTAAGTGGTGCCAAATCAGCACTATTTTTAAAGAGGCTGTATCAATACGCCCTCAGGTGTTCATACAGAAGATGAAGTATTGAACCCCTACTCACCTCTCTGACAGGCCCCTAACAAGTTGTGTGGATCTCTCTGGGGGGGATCTATGTATTGATTTGAAATTGGATGAATGGAGAAAAAAGGCTTATTAATGTAACATGGGTGGTACATTATCCCAGGGACAAGATAATGATCCACTGTCCCTGGGCTGATCAGTTGGTTCCTGTGCTTCGTACATATCGATTGACTGTGTCCTGGGAGGGACCCTAAAACTATTGACAGAGCAGGCCAGAGCAGGAAACCTAACTTGATCTGTTTGTGTAAGAGGAAAGGGAATGACTCCCTTGATGCCCAAGGTGATCTTTCTGCATAAGTATTATTGGGTAAACTACAACAACTACTGGAATTGATCTTGTAATAAGGAAACCTAGATTTCTCTTCTCCCTGGATTCATCCGCTGTAATGAGTTTCCTTATACTGTCTTGTAAGATTCAAATGACGTAACTAAAAATACGCGACAGCATATGCTAATTTGCATCCACAGTACCCCACTCGGCTCTCTCTCGTCCCCCACAGGTCAGGTCGGGTGAGCGGAGACGTGCTTCGGAGTCAGAGTTTGTTAAGTTGGAGGAGAAGGTGCTGCGGATGGAAGCAGAGCAAGAAGCAGTCCTTACCTCCATGGGTGAAGAACTAGATGCAGCTTGTCGTAGCCTGGCTAGGAATGGTGAAGACAAACTACAGGTATTTTATTTGATTAGACGTAGTTGTATGTCTGTCTGTTTTTGTATGACCAGTATTGACTCAGCGTTTAGTTGTGTTAAAGGTAAATCTCCGACAGCATACATACTGTCTGTGCATCTTTCACCTGTGCACACTATGGCTCCAATTAACAATTATTCTTATAATTGATTAATCTGCAGATTAAAATTTTGATTAATCATTTGGTCAATAAAAGAACCAAAAGGAAGCAGTGAAAATGTCCATCAGAATTTCCTAGAGCCCAGAGTGACAACATCAATTCTCTCTAGAAAATCCTCTTTAGCCATCAAATATTCAATTTACCATAATGAAGACAAGAAGAAGCAGCAAATTCTCACATTGAGAACCTAGTACCATCAAATTATGGCACTTCTGCTGTAAAAATGACAACAGTTAATTGATTATCAAATAGATTTATTTCTGTGTGTCTTGGCAGCTCTAGATTAGGGTTTCACATTTAATAGAAATATTATCAAAATTGCAAAATGGCCAATTGCGATATCCAAATCGCAGAAGCTACAATCTTTTTTTAACAAAGGTAAAATGTGCTGCAGAGATTTTCAATTGAACTCTTAATGTCTAGTTCGGATAGTCAAGTTTGCATTTGTACTACAACCTGGACGGGAAAAAGAGTGATGTTCCAACTACTATTTAATCTCCTCTACTCACTTACTAACTAGTTTTCTTGCACTCTTAATTCCAATAACACCTAAATTAATTGTTATGGCTTACTATGTGAATGTATTTTTTTAAAATCAAATCTAGTTTTTTCAAATTAGTTGAGCTGCTCTATAATCTCTCCACGTGTCCCTTGGCAACAGCAGAAGCACCCCCTGCGGTACAAGTACCCCTGGTTGGCAATCCCTGCTCTAGATCACATATGTGCATGCTCTCTCATCAAGGCTTACTTATCTTACACATACATGCTGTGATGAAGGCTAATCAACTGGGGACTTGTATTGACTATGAAGTTCTTTCATTTATGAAATTCTTTCATCTGATAGAGGGAAGATGAAAGACGTATGAAATTTATAGACTATAGATATGTGTTATACTGCAGAGACAGGCTCTTATGATATGTATATGAGTGTGTTTTGTATGTTTCTGTGTGTACAAAGAGGTAGAATTACAGCACTCATTTGTATTACAGTTAACAAGTAGTACCAATACAGATGCACTATCTACAACCTGGGTAAGTAAATATAAATTAGTGTATTACTATAATATTTTACCATTAAATAAAAAGTATTGTGTTAATATAATAGTATAGTGTCTTTCTGCATAATGATATTGATGATGATCATATATGATATGACTACTATACACTATACTATACAGCCTTCCACTAATATTTTGATGGTTTTGTTCCGACGTTAAATCCTTATATGAAATGGTTTAAAATGGTAATTTGTTAATTACGTACGTTAAGTACTAAGTAATAATTAAGTAATAATAAGCATTCAGGCACAGTTTACTGTAGAGCATCGACCTTTTTTAGTGTCCTGCCCCATCCAGGCTGTGATTGGACGGTTCACTATATATATATAAGTATATAATGGCACTGGGCTTCGGTATCCAACCCTTACAGTGTCTTAGAAATATTATCCAAGTATTGGAAGTCTGCAGAGTTTTGTTAAGGTAAAAGAATACCTCTATACTATATACCTAGTCTGGTAGGTGTTTGAATATACACGACACATTAATTCCTATTATGGACAGTGAAACTTCTACAGTACTACTGACAAATGCTAATGTTTTATACATATTGCCTACTGGAAATACACACACACCCTTACACACTAATTCACTTAAGGTGCACCCGTACTCTCCCCTATATGCTTGAAGCTAGTTTTCCTCTGTTCCTGCAGGCTAATGAACCCAGCCAGCTCTTACCTGCTCATATAGATTTCCCAATCTGGTCCAGCAGTGCTGCAACCAGACATGCGAGCCGACGCCTCGCCTCATCTGTAATCTGTCATGTTGAAAAGAAGTCAAACTTGCTACTGATTGGCCTAATGAGGGGAATCATTACCAGTTAAGGGGTGTATTAGGTTTAACTTACCTCAAGGTACCCTCCCTTCCTTCTCTTTTGGAGCACTAATGCAAGAAGTTGTGTGACAGTGTAGTGTAATGCTGAGAGTTAAGGAAAACTTAACAGGGTTGGTGCGCTGTCATATAGGGGATTGGAAATTTACTGTATGTTGGCAGTTGATAAATCAATTGCCAAGAATCAAATCAAGTTTATTTGTATAGCCCTTTACAATAGCCGAAAGGTACCCAAAGTGCTTTACAACAAAGCCATAAAACAATACATAACACATACAGAACATACAGATACAATTAAAAGTGCTGTAGTGGTGCAGCGCGCAGGCATTAAAAGCCTTCCAGAAATGCATAGAAGGTAGCAGACGAAGGAAAGGACACCTAAGAGACAGTACTCCTCAGAATTGAATGCTAATTAAAAAAGTGGGTCTTAAGCTTCGATTTAAAAAGGCTGAATCAGTATGGTCGAATGTCAGGGGGCAGTTTGTTCACAGTCTGGACAGCGACGCAAAAGAACGATCGCCCATGTGCGCACCGAGGAGCGCAGGGCTCGCACAATTGCGAAAAGTTAAAATCTCAGACAAGTAAGAGGGGCCAAGCTTAATGCGTTAACAAACAGCAGAGTTTAAAATCCAATCCAAAAACAACGAATTACTAAGACTACTTTCCAGTAAACCAAAATTGATATGCACATCTTTATACAAGCTAGTTAAACATTCAGTTTAATTCATAATTTGTTAATAGGTTGTTTCCTACCTTAAGATGCTCAACTTTGTGGGATACTTCCTATCTGGTTCCTTGTTTGTCCCTCTCTGTCTTTCGCACTTGTGACCTACTTCCTGTCCTCATCTTCTTTTGGCGAGCTGGCTCAAGAGAGGTGCACACGATGTAACTGGTTCTGTGTTTAAACTCCAGCTATGACATTTGTCGTTTTTTCTCTCCCTTCATTTTAAACTGTTAAAATTAGGAGAAATGCCATAGTGGCAATCTCTATAAAAACATCCACTGTGTCCTTTCACTTGGTTACTGACATCTCTGGCTTTTGCTTTTCTCTAACTTTGCCATCTTTACATTTTCTCAGCAGGAGGTGAAACAAACAAACTGCAACCAGGACACACAGTCAAAGTTTACTCATAATTCGAAAGAGACGTATAAACCACGAGTCCACACATTTAAAAGCAGTGGCAGACACTTGGATTCCACGGCAGTGCTGCCGAGAAAATAGTGCATTCTTTCACTTCAACCACACAGATAGCACTTTCAACCCCAGCCTACTTGTTCAGTTTTTCAACATTTCACCTCCTTTTTGTGCTGCCACTGCGCAGATTGCCCTTTGATGGTTCGGAAAGACTAAAGAGAGCGAGAGCATGTTATCCTCCCACAAAGTCCGCACCCTGCCATGCGGTTGTAACTCCCCCCTGAGACGGGACTCTGCACAGCAAGTACTCATTGCCGTACTTTGAGCTGCCGTAGCAACAACTTGGAAATCGTTTTGCTTGGATCAGTTTTGAGTGACGCTTGAAAAAGTTGCTGACACTGTGCAGTGACGTTTTGCCAAGGCACAGGACAAAAAGGTCCAAAAAAAATCCTGCTGCCTTGCTTTCACATGTCGTTGATCATGGTATACACCACCTTGCCACAAGGGTGTACTTGAAAAAAAAAAAACGTTTACTTTTTTGTGACTTGTCATGTGTGCAGTTTGTACAGGTGAATTTGTGTTTATGCCTTCTGGATTTTTGTTTTACCTAGTTACTGTGCTGTCGTTTGTGTGTTAGCAGGGTGCAGAATGTCTCCTATGGAACGATCTGCACAAAATCTTTCGGAAGAAATGTCTTTTATTTTTATTTGTTTTACACATGCCAGCAGCGCGGCTCTTGGGATGGCCATGTCAGTTGGTCAGTCCTCAACTTCGGTCACAGCTGAAATATCTCAACTAAATGGATGCGATTGCCATATATATTCTCACAGAGCTGCTAGTGCGACTGAAACTAATGCTGCGTTCAGACCGACTTTAGTCCTGTCTTGCAGCCCATTGGTCCTTTGTTGCATGTCATTCACTCTCTTCCCATGTTCCACATTAGTATCTACACTATCACCATCTAAAAAAAAAACAATATATGACCTGCTGTGGTTAAGTGCGCCATAAGGCTTGAACAGACAGAGAGCTGATTGTACATTGTGTTACAGTAAGAAGTAAAAAACCGAAGGTAGCTAGAATTAGAATGGGCATATCCATATCTAATGCCATTTCGTACTGATGTACTGTTACATCCTCCATGTGAAAGGAAGTGGTAATGAGCATAATTGGAATTATTAACTTTGGTGAAAAAAAAACACTTGCATAGGTGCCATCTAGTTATGTGACTGTATTTATCTGTGTTCTTGTATCGTGTCTTTCTGGTTTTGAATGTGTGTGTGGTGTGTGTGTGTGTGTGTGTGTGTGTGTGTGTGTGTGTGTGTTGTGGTGTGTGTGTGTGTGTGTGTGTGTGTGTGTTGTTGTGTGTGTGTGTCAGCAGTCATTAGGAGTTGGCAGACAGTCAGTTCGTATTGCTGATGCTGACAAGCTTGTCTGGGAAGGATGGAACATACTCCCTGAGCTCATTTTTATGACACGCATACAACCTCTGTGTGTAGGTGTGTGTGCATGCACCAGTGTATGTAGTGTAATAGTCTGTTTAACACACTCGCATGCCAATTTAAGTTGGCGGAAGCTGCTCTTCACAAAAGTTAAGGGTTTGACAGGAAGTTGTTCTTCTGATTTTTATCCTGTTGTTTGTCCATCCACATATTCAATCACTATTGTGTATATTCTTTTTGCATTTTATAACTTTTATGATGTCTCTTCATATATTTTTGTGTCCATTTAGACAACTGACTATACATCTATAAGATCACAACTCCAAAATCTCTTTGCACTGCTTTCCATTGTAGGCTTTTTGAAGAACTTAGTTTTAGTAATGCATGCTAACAAAGGCAGCAGAGCTAACATTTGCATTAATCTCTGTTTCTTTAACAGGCGATCTCCCAGAAACCTGGATTAGTGAAAGACCCACACCGCTGGCTAGCTGAGACAAAGGTATAATTATTACATGCAGTAGTGCTGCCTTCCTTAAGAGGGATATTTCCAAATGATCAATTATATAATTAAGAAAACCCAAAATTAAGCATTTGACAGTGTTACCATGAACATCATGCTCATCTCCGGGAAAGACAATAGCATAGGATATATGTAATCAATGATTTGGTCTTTGCAAATGTAAAATGATTGTACCATCCACACATGGTTGTATTTCTGCTTGTTTAAAACCAACCTTTACCGTAGTATAACCTCTCAAAAAAGAAGATTTATTGTTGAAGAAACCACTTTTCACAGCTGAGCACTGATGTGTGGTGAGAGTCAGCAGTAATCATAATGAAACTGGAGTTCAAAGATTTGTGACAGAATGTGCTCCCATAATAATCATAAGGGCAAGGACAATTGTAAACTGCACTCCCCTTAGAAGTTTAGCCATAGTACGTTATTTTATTGGTTTTCATTCCTCGAAGCCAACATTATGGTTAAAATGATGTTCTGCTTTGGTGAGGCTCTTTTAATTGATGAAATTGTGAGACCCAGTTTTTATATAATGTGTTGCCATCTTGCCATTATTTTATTCGCTTTTGCATTAAGAGTTGCCTCCTGGCTTCCTTCCAAGACAAATCCGTTAAGTGTTACAATGATGTACTGAACAAAAAAACATGTAATTATGGTTGTGGTGGTGATGCATGATACTGTGTTAAAATGTGTTTGCACAATTCATAGTGTTTATCACCATAATGTATATCTCCTGTCAGAAAGCTTTCAGAGCACAGTGCATTTACAAGAATAAAACAATAGAGTACAAGAGAGATAATTAGCTCCCTAGTTAGCAATTTTTATGTTAGTAAAATCTAGGTATGATTTACAGGCTTGTAGAACACAGTTAGAATTCCCATTTAACCCATAATTTTGCATGGCGGTAACAACTCTTTAACTAAAACATTGTACATTTATTTACATTACCTGTTGACAGTGTGCTCAGCACCACATTGACTGGCCCACTGTATTTTCTCTGAGCTTTTATCACATTCATTTTGGCTGTGTCCTTTTCTGAACTTGAGTTTAACACCGTGGTCATAGCCAAAATGTTAACACATTGACTATATTTTGTGTTTAAAGAGATTTCAAGAGACTTATAAACTTGCAGCTTGGACAGTACTGGAGCAAAAAACCTTTTAAATTAAGATGTAATTTCTTTATTAAGAATTCGACTTTAAAGGGAAAACAGGATTCCCTTGTGATTTTCTTATATCAGTTTTCGTGACTTAATTAAGTTCCTATGAGATGTCCTTTGCATATATTAGTGTGCAGACTTCTACATCAGATAACCAGTTAGAGCACAGTGCTGTATGTATGATTACGTAAGGAAAATCATTTTTATTCTAAGAAATGGGTCTGAAACGCAGGATGTCAAGGTAGAAACGGAGGCCTTAGTATTAAAGATTTACTCCACCATAAACACTTTTTTTTTTTTTTAGCTGTACCGTGATGAAACACATCAATGTTGGTGTTAAAACTGACATTATTACCAAATTTATAAAAATCAGCATTTTGTGTGTTGAAGTCTGCTCAACACCCAATCTACTGTTTTAAATCATCCTGAACCCTGTAGTGTAAGATAGAGTCGATCGTTTGGGGCGACACTAACCTGGCAGTATGTAAACTGCTGCACTCATATTCAAATGTATACTGATCAAGACGCCTCATTCACGGGAGTTTATGCAAATTTTTGCTAAACCTTTACTAAGTATTTTTTCTATTCTGGTGCATTAGTTGGATGCTTCAGACGGCTGTAGAAGCACTGGACTGCAATCTTTACTGTGATCCCACGAACTGACAGTCCTCCCAAAGACACACTCTAAGCTGGTAGCTTAGCTGCAACACAGGAACAACACAGAAACTTTTACAAACAGCCAGCAATGTGCTTCTAGTGACTGTCAAAGCTCCAGCGATCTCTCTGTGTTTCCAGCACAGACACACAGAGAGTTTGACAGCAGCTGCTCATTAGCTCTGACTAACAGCTCGCTGTTCCTGCTACGCTGCTGTGTGCAGTGTCACTCAGGTTGGTGTCAAAGCCACGCCCCCTAAAGTCACTGTCCTTTGGAGGTCTCTGATGAATTTTTCTTTTTTATTTGCTGAGAGGAAGGGAGGTAGCAGAATTGAAGGGTGTGGTTACATTTTAAAACCTTATATCTTATATTCCCTGATCCCCCTATATTTTTAATAAGATCTTTACTATAAGAAACCCCCAAAAAGACCATGCTACTTCCCCCCTCTCAAAAACAATTGTGCATTGATTTCATATTTATTTAACCAACCAGACCAAGCTACGCTGGCTGTGTGAGGAGGTGCGGGAGTGCAACACAAGAGACCAGCGCCTAAGGAAGCAGCAACAGCAGACCAGGGATCAGCTGAAGGCGCTCAGGCAGAGCCGTGACTCGGAGCAGACAGCTCTCCTGCAGCGCCTGGACCAACAGGAGAAGATGCTGCACTCCCTCAGCATTGAAAAGAGAGGTACATAAACAGTGTTGTATTAGAAAAATACACAAACATTGAGCATGGGAGAATGCAGTGTATGATTTTTTGGGTTTGGATTTATGTGTGGGGGGGGTTCTCTCTCTCTCGCCTAAACAGTGGTACTACACCATCAAAGCATGCCAGTGAGTCATATGCCAACCAAATATAAGATATCAGAGCCCAGCATCATGTGAGACTAATCAGGCAGCTAATACCTGATTTTAAAAAGCATTGTGCCTGAAATCCTTCAGTTTGATGAAATAACAATAGTGATCTGGAAAATTCTGAAAATTTACTATAGCAAGCTCTTAATGAAAATGTAGTTATTCCTTGACTGTTGGACCAACAGTAACACTAACTTCCTGTTTTCTTCCTGTCTCATTTACATAATCACCCCGTCATTAACTAATTCAAACCTGCATATTTCTGATGCGCGTTTGTCACAGAGTGGTTCTTGTGTGTTGTTTTGTAATAGAAGTTTGTTAAAATGGCTGTTTGTGCCAGTGTATCTGATGCTTTGTTTTTTTGTGCATGTGGGCCTGTCTGTTTATGATTACAAATGTTTGAGAAAACATCTTAATGTGTGTGAACTTTGAGACTTCTATGGGAAATTGACTTGTTTTTCCGGTCCCAAGTCCCATTTTTGACTGAATTTCTCCTAATGAGCTGTAACTGCCAGAGGAAGAACAACTTGTTTTTAGCACTTCATCTGAACAATACAAGGAAATGGGCCTAATTTGTGTTCCATTAACTGAGAGAAAGAGAGTTAAAAGGCACAGTGAGACCATAGAGAGAGGGATAGGTAGACATGGACAGAGAGATGGAAAACCAATACATAGAGACAATCAATCAAAGTAATTCCACTTTTTTTGGTCATAGTAATATTGAACCATTCCGATAAGCAATCTGATGATCCCACCTCATCTCCACACCTCCCTTTGGAAACACAGTTAACTCTGTCTTTGGACCCAATCAGCCGGTGTGGATTCACTGCAGGCAGAAGCACCGATATGGTCTTTTTAGTAATTAGACCTAAGAGTAATATCTGTGTCACAACAGCTACAAGATCCGGTTATTTAAACTGAAGTTGTGCAAATTAAGATTTTATCTACTGTGCTTTGAATATGGCTTCTCAGTAATGTGGTTGCTCTTTTGTTGTATTATTGCAGAGCGAGATAAGACTTACAAATCCCTACCATGCATGAGCACATACATTATGATGAGCTGTGTTGACGTGATGCATTTGTAACAATACACTCAACCATGCAGTGTGGCCAATACTAATTTGGTTTACCTGTCCCCATCACAAGTGATTCTTTTGTCTGCCATATATATTATCAAACGGGAAATTTTATTCTTATGAGATGTATTTTACTTGTAACTACTTGTCTGCTCATCTCAGTAGATTACCTGTTAATGCCGCCACTCTGCAGAACCCTTAGTGATAGACAGGAATTGTCTCTCAGTGAATGTATTAGTTTCAGATTGTCATTGCAGTCTGTTTATTTTTCCTTTAGAGATTCCATCACTTACACAGTTAACAATAGTTCTTGTTTTATAAAAACAAGTTTGAGATGAGCTGTGACAGAGTGTAAGTCTGTGTAAGAAGCAACAGCAGTCTATTACCACCAAATGAACAGGCTAGCTAAAACCAGGGGTTGGAGACTATGGCAGAATATATTTCCATAGGCAGAAATGGTGTATATGTATTTATGTCAAATATGTTAGCCTGTGTAGCCAGATCATGTATGTTTGTTTACATGCACACATACTGGAGGAGGTGGAGATTCAGTCATCCCCAGGTAATTGGATATTAAACCTGGGATACCCTATACCAAGTCAACACCTAAGGTGCAACAATAAGCACTAGTTAAGAATAATACTTTGATTATTTCATAATGATTAATAACAATGTATTCGTTTTAGTACATAAACTAATATAATGTGTTGGCAGCACTTTATCAGAACAGTTGGCACAAAGCTTAACGCCAGAAAGAGTAAACAATGGGTAAATATTGTGGCATTTGTGTAATAAAACTCAATTGCTTGGCTAAATGAAATCAGTTATTCCTCTAAATTAACACCTCATTAAACAAACAATCAGTGATTGTAATTAAAAACAATTTGGTGTTGCAATCAACAACAAACACAAGCAGAGTTTGTCTTCCCTCTACCTGTGTGAGTAGAAATAATCCACTAGCAGTAAACTGAAACAGTCTAACATATTGGGATAAGTAGCATTCACCACATGAGGAAAACAGTTAGTCTGTTTTTTCCTCTGGTACGCTGGGGGGTTAAGTGACTGAGTCTACCTTCCCATGCCTCATTGATTGAAATTGGTAAAAACTGCTAATTGTGGAAGGTCCTGGTGGTGTTCGTGTCTCTCCAAATGAAGTTGTTCTGTCTCTGATGCTGATTCAAGTCCTTTAACGCTGAATATTTGATGATATTGAATCCTGATAGTCCTGAGCCCAACTTAACTACACAATACAACTGCAGCAAATGTGTGTAACATACGTTTTACAATTAAATAGCTTTAGGTAATGCTTTATTTTACAGGGGTCCATAAATTCCTAATCATTTCTTAGGACATTTGCAGGAAAGAATCATATAATTTTGAACAAATTATAGGTAAAATAGAAACAGCATTTCAATGGTACACTTCTTTTTACAGTAGTCAGTCATGTCAGTCAGTAGTCATGTAAAAGAAGAGCGCAATGTTAGTTCTGGCAGAGCACTCACATTGTACTTGCATTAGCTGTTTGGCATCAGCTGTTTCTTTCATGCCTGGAAGTTTTTGGTGTTGGTTTGACTCAGATCAAATGTTTATGTATGTGGTTATTATGAGAGGGTTCTTTGAGAGCACCCTCAAACAGTAGAGCTGTTTTCTGCCAAACCTAACTGTACAATTACATGAGCTGTACAACATATATGAGGAATAAAGACGTAAGTAAATAAATGTGGACCAACTAAAATAACCGTATCAGAATTGTCTCCATTTCCCCAAAAGTTAGTACCAAATTATTAACAGTTTTGAAAAAGAAATTCATAGGAAAATATCAGGAAATAAGAAACCTGTAAAATGAAGTGTTACTGAATCTTGAATTACGACTTCCCTTTAGCATGAGGTAAAATTAAATACAAACAAAGTATCCGATACCTGCTGCAGATGGAGAATAAAGTCAACATATGCCTGGCTTGACTCCAATGCCAGTACTTTGGCACTGGCACTGCATAGGGGAATCTGGTGCAATCTCAGCTCATCAACAGAAATGTTTCTTTCAGAGCTGCTGGAGAAGACTCGCAGGAAGGAGGAAGAAATGAGAAGCCTTCAGGTTAGCCATTATATGTCTTTATTAATCCTTATCTGTTTGTCTGTTCATTTGTGTCTGTAAATCTGCACCATAAATAGTGGATTTTTAATATCCAGCTGGCCTAATTTCAACTATGTTGCCAAAAAGAGACAGCTGGTACTATTTCTGTTTATAAACCACATTGCCTTCAAATTCTTTTTCCTTTTTGCATATCTATTGGGTTGTTTTTGAGTAACTGCTGGGCTTTAGTGATCTGAGTTCTGTGATGCAGTGCTTCAGACATTAGTACACAGCCGTGGGTCTGTCGAACTCCTTGCAGCCTTGCTTGGACAAGTAGCTAATTACTGCAGACACGAGGCCTTGGAGTTTAAAAGCCACCAGAGGCCTTGTCTCTGTCTTTCAGTACCGCAGCATCTACACTTGGCAGGCCACCAACTCACCTAGTCTGGATTGGACTGGCCCCCTGCACCTCAACGGCCCTTTCCTCACCATTAAACAGCTAAACACATACACTCTCTCTCTCTCTCTCTCTCACTCACACACACACTCTCACACACTCTCACACACACACACACACACACATACTGGTTTCCATCTGCAAT